AAGGCTATCCTGTTGCTAGCGGTATTGGGTTGTGTGTTCTGTTGTATGGTGAATGACCTGTGTCTGGCAGTCTGAAGCACTGTCCTGTAAGTAATGTAATATTTCTGTGTACCTGAAGTACCTCAAGTACCCAGATTACGGAATGTTTATCCAGCACAAGTTAATATGGTCATGTCCTGAAACTATTAATCTTTTGCAGTGAGTGAGTATGATTTTACCCCACTTTTGGCAATTTTTCAGCAATATTTCAAGCAATTTTTCAGCAATATTTCAAGCAATTTTTCAGCAATATTTCAGCAATATTTCAAGCAATTTTTCAAGCAATTTTTCAGCAATATTTCAAGCAATATTTCAGCAATATTTCAAGCAATATTTCAGCAATATTTCAAGCAATATTTCAAGCAATTTTTCAAGCAATATTTCAGCAATATTTCAAGCAATATTTCAGCAATATTTCAAGCAATATTTCAGCAATTTTTCAAGTAATATTTCAAGCAATATATCAGCAATATTTCAAGTAATATCAATTGTCTCCACGCATTGCACCCATGTAGGGAATTGGTGTGGTGAGCGAACACTTTAACCACTGGACTACCCCAACACCCTCATCTACAGGAAAATCAGAGGCTTACATGATATGACACTGCTTTAGAGTGAGTGAGTGAGTATGGTTTTACGCTGTTTTTAGCAATATTCCAGCAATATCACGGCTGGGGACACCAGAAATGGGCTTCACACAATGTGCCAATGTGGGGATTCGAACCCGGGTCTTCGGCGTGATGAGCCAACGCTTTAACCACTAGGCTACCCTATCGCCCCGACACTGCTTTAGAGAGAGGTGTTCAGCACTGAAGAATGTGGGATTTGCAATATTGTGCATCAGATAGTATCAGGGCCTACTTAGTTATGAAGGAAGGCTGCATTTTGTATTTGTTATCATGGTTAATAACGTATTCGTATTGAATCGACCCTTATCCCTTCATGAATTCAGTTCATTATTCATAATCACTAGAATCAAATAGTAATGAAATTTTATAAAAGGAATGTTCATTTGAATGTGGGTGTTATTTATCAAAATAAGATTTGTAATATCCAGGCAGGATAACAGTTAACAGTCTTATGTATATAATTTGACAGTAATTTGGTCACTGGTCTTTGTAATAATATAGACAAAATAGACTATATCTGGTTACTGTTTCACTGAAGACAGAGTATCATACATCAACTTCAGATTAGTTTTTGTATGCATTATACAAACTTGTATTCGTTATCCAATATCTGTGATGTGTATCATATTCACCTCATAGTGGATTCCTTGTCGCTATGTAGCTGAAATGATGCGGATGAAAAGTTAAATTTGAGCTCACTCACTCAAGCAGCCCAAATGTTTACTTGATATTGCATCAAAGAATATCTTGTATTTTTGTCAGTGGAAAAACAGATATTGGCTATATCAATAGTGCATTTTAGAATCATTGACCAAAGTACAGATCATCAAGAGAATAATGTTTTTGTGTATGCCCATCTACTGTGTAGAGTTGTGTCCCTTACCTGTACCAGGATCAGCTTCAACCTTCTGTTAGGATCACTGACCAGTGTTCATGATGTATGTCAAGGGCAATCATCTATGGTCTCCCATCCCACAAAAGGCTGACATGCCCATCTTTAAACTCAACTCTCTCAGTCACATTAAGTCAGTCATTAAGTTAATTGCAATAGGAATAGGTATGGAAATATTGAGTGTGTGATTTATTGTACCATCAATTTGTGAGTACTTCTCTTGGTTAAATATTTTAGTTTATGGAAGTCTCTGCTCTATTGTATAATTTTAAAATGATATTTTGGTTTCAAACAGCCTTACGATTTGTGCATGAGGCATATCTTTTTGTTACTACCTGTGACAGTAGGTGATGATGATGATGATGATGATGATGATGATGATGATGATGATGATGATACCTGTATTTCACTTAATTAAAAAAAGATAAAGAGGAAGTCCAGCTTTGGTCTTAGTACAGGGGCCCTTAAGAGTTGGTCTCAGTGAAGACTCTTTTCAGAGTTTGTGTCAGTATAGAGCTGTATGAGGCTCGCCTTGCAATAGAGGCCCTCTAAGTGTTGTCTCCTAAAAAGAGGCCTTCTACAGTGTGAATGAATGCTGACAACAGGATGTCTATGTTATCTTGATTGGTAGTTGAGCACAGCCTGACTCTGAGGCTACAGCTAGATAAGATATTGCCAGAAGGTGGACCTAGCTGTACCACCCTTTGCCATCAAGTGATCTTTCGTCTAACATTTTCTTTAACACTGGCTTTTTATCTGGCCTATTTATCTTCTACTTAATCTAACAACAATATTTTGTCTTTAAAAAAAGTGTGTTAGATGTGTTGCTTTCGTAGAGGTTACGATACGAAAAATAGGCTGACAATATGTAAACCTCAATCCAGTCAGTATAGTCTCTGAACATGCCAATATCTTCGTCATGTAAGTGTGAGTCAGGTGTTTGTTTTGTCACTTATATTTTGTGTTGATAAGAAGGGAATATGATCTGTAAGCGTTAGTGGTGTTCCGATTAATTGAAATAATCGAAGATTGATCACAGTGACCAAAGCCCAAGCAATCGATCACATTTTCTCATAATCGAACATAAATGATTTTGGAACTGCTGTTTTAGTCTTTGAAAAACTTGACAATGGAACATATCTTAGATGTTGTCAGGGCCTGAAAACGTGTTTAATTCTTACAAAACTCACTTCATGAACTGAAAAGTCATGACTGAATATTTCTTGAAGATTCCGGGAAGTTTATGTTCATGATATATTAGTCATCACTTTAAAGTAACAAGTTGCATCATGTTATAAATATCTGCAATAACAACCTGGATAGGAAAATCTGAAAAATGACGCTAACTTTCGATGATTGTTCGTTGGTAATGAAACAATCATCAATTGTGAGATTTCAACCAATTCCCAACACTAGTAAGCGTTAGTCCTATTGGAGATCACACATGAATCATATCTAAGGGACTTGTTATTTGTTATAGGTACAATTGTGATGAATTGTGTCATTTCTTTCTTTCACCGTGTCATTTTCTCATGGCCCTCAACCTCCTGTAATCTGAAGCTGTCCCCTAATGCATGATTAATGGTGTGCCTTTTTTTAACGCCATTTTGGGCAGTATTCCTGTTATATCCCGGGGTGTCAGTTAATGTTGGAGGAATCTCTGAATGGATCATGCAGTCTCAGACTTTTACCCCATGGGTGAAATCCATGAATACGGGTATAATGTTGATGAACCTAGATACCCAGTACACACTTGGGCTGAACTGGGATTCAAACTCACAGACTTAGGTTTCGGTGCACTAGTGTTGGGAATTGGTTACAATATGATAATTGATGATTAGTTCATTACAACCGATCAATCATTGAAAATAATTGGTTAGCGTCATTTATCAAATTTATCTGTTATGTTTGTTAATGAACAAAGTTTTGGGGGTTCTGTTTGCAAACTGCACAAAATGTATTTGCAAGTTTTGCATCTTTGAAGGATTACTACTATGTTAAAACATACATTTCCTGGAGTCTTCAAGATAAATTCAATCATGACTTGGTACGAGCTCGTAGTGTTTATGAAACATAAATTTAATGACACAGACAAAACAACGTTGTGAACAATTTTGTTAATGCAAACAAGTGTTCCAAAATTGTTTGTGTTCGATTATGAGAAAACATGACCGATTGCTTGGTTGTTTAGTCTCTGCGACCAATCTTCGATTATTTCAATTAATCGGACCACCACTACTGTGTACTCAAAGAAATTATCAGTCCGTAAACATTGAAGGATGAAATAATGTACATGCTTTTGAATTACCTCAGCATGAGAGAATTTGTCATTCTAAGTATTGAAATAGCTGCTAAATACTTCTTTAGATTTTATAGAACATCCCCTGTCCAGGAAAATTTGGGGTGAGGGTGACATTTGTGTTACCATAGAAATAGAATGCATGTTCTGCTGGGTACATCTTTTCTCATAACATTTAGAAGGAAAATAACTAAACTAAACTTTTGATTGTGTTTGTTATCACACCCTACAGAGCTAGGTCACTTTATTGCGATATACAAACAATTTATCTCAACCAGGAAGTTGGGGAAAAAACAGCCTTTTGAACAGCCTTTTGTTATTACTCCTGGTAACTTTATTATTGCTGTATGGACATGTTTACGATGTTACCTGCTGTGCACACATTCACCTTGTGTCGCTCAAAATTAACTATGAAACAAATAGACTTTTCCATTAATCCAAAGCTTTTTTATCTCCTTGTTTGTGTTATTTCTCTGTTTGTGCAAAGACTTTGCCCTTTTTTGACGTTTTTTAAAGTTTTTCATGACACTCTGGACACTGCAGGAATGAAAGATTGTGGTGTTTTCAACACTTTCATTATTTCAACAAAGAGTTCTACTGCAGGTCTCCTTGATTTCTTACTGGCTCTTTTGCAAATGAAGATAATTGAAAATTCCAAGGGAACTGCGACTTAAGTTTCTTTTTGTTTCCCAAGCTTCGTTAAACTTCTTGCCCTTTTTTTGCTTTCTTTTACTGTTTCCAGTTTTGCAAATGAGACTTTTTCAGAAAATGAGTTATGAAGTACAATGTAGCTCATGTATTATAGGAATTTATCATCACTCATCTCACCAGGCAGATAACATCAACTTACTATGTCTTACTTTTAATGAGATGCTAGAATAACTGAAGACAATGATAGGAAAACAACATTGTTCATACTGTTTTCAGGAATTAAATTTGACTTATATTTTCAGTTTAGTAAGTTAAAAGTATTTTTTCTTGATTGAATTTTGGATCAAGTGGGACACATGTGATATTACGTGTATGATTGTATAGAATGTTAAGAGAAACAAACGCCTGGTGTGACACACCATGTGAGCATGTGTCGTCAGTGCGGCAGCATGGAACATGTTATCAGAAGTCTGTGAATCTTCTGCTGCAGAAAACTCCCTTCCCTGGTGAGGTCAAGGATCTGACGAAGCGGATCCGGACCGTGCTGATGGCCACGGCACAGATGAAGGAGAACGAGAACGACCCCGAACTGCTGGTGGACCTGCAGTACAGCCTGGCCAAGTCGTACGCCAGCACGCCCGAACTGAGGAAGACATGGCTGGACTCCATGGCCAAACTCCACAACAAGAACGGAGACTACTCAGAGGTCAGTTCTTGATGTTTACATGTCTTGTTTAGATCTGGTTCTAACTGTAATATCTGCAGTTTTATGAATCCCCACGTACAGGAAACAACTCTGAACTAACATTATTTCTGGTCACACGTCTCCATCAATGGAGAAATCCTGATTTTGTTTCTGACATCGCTTATGGATGAAACCATTTTCTTCCTGGAATTGACTAGCTGATAACTGACGTTGTGTGTGTGAATTATGCAGAGATATGTTGACATAAAACCTGTGAAGAATGGGGTTAGAATTGGTCTTCAGCAACGCGTGCTTGTCATAAGAGGCGATGCTCATGTTGTTGATCACTGGATTATCTGGTCCAGACTCAATTATTTATAGACCCCGGCCGTATAGCTGGAACATTGCTGAGTGCGGAGAAAAAGGAACAAAGAATGGGGTGAACAATCTTGTGGGTTCGAGGGATGCACATGCTTCCCCTCCCATCATCCCAAACCAGCCATGTACTCACAGTCATACTCACTCATACACAAAAGTCTTCACTTTGACATTACTAGAACATTGCTTAAGGCAATGGTAAACCGCACTCACTCACTCACTCACTTTATACCAGCGTTTAAAATTCCCGCCTGCCCGACCGTCAGGAACGGTCTATTTTCAACTCGGACGGTCAAATTTCAAATGTAGCGTGTCCGGTGGTCTGGTAGATATTTTTACCCCTAAGAGTAAATATTTCATAATATCAGACAGGTTCTCGCATTGTCACTTTGAGGTGTTTAAGGTATTATGAAAATTATGTTAACCTACTTACGATTGGACAGTTCATGTTATGATAACCAATCACAACACATGTACTTTCAGTTTACCTAAACTCGGTGCATTACCTGTCAGTGCTATGTAGTTCATTGTGATGCCTACAAACAGTGAATGGAGTTTGCATGAGTTGGAAATGGCAGTCACAGTTTTTTTATTGTTGAAAACCGGACAGGCAAGTTTGTATCCGGACTGGTAATTTTCTATAGTTACCAGTCCGGCTGTCTGGCTGTGAATTTCGAGAGTTTTAAACACTGTTTATACTACATAAAAAGTTGGTAGGGACTGAATATGCTATAAATAGCCAAGAAATTGTTTGATGTGTTTCTAAATTTATACGTTCTTCGTTCCAGGCTGCCCATTGTTACATTCATATCGCTGCTCTTATTGCGGAATATTTGAAGAAGAGAGGTATGGATTGTTTTTACAACTATCTCTGTTTTTAGTTCTCATTACATGTAGGTGCAATACATGTGGTGTATATCGTTCTTCATTGGTCATAGATTCTCCTCTAGCTCATTGGCTACACACTCACAGCTAAGACAAATGACACAAGTTTTAAGAAAAATCAAAATGTTATTTCTGCTGTATTTTATGATGGACCTTAATGGCTCACTTCTGAATGTAATGAAACATGATGATGAGATTTAACGTGGACTTTCCGACATAACGTGTATTTCGCACACCGGCCGTGTAGTGTTTGATGAAACAAAATTTAGCTTGCATATTTAAAATTGTATCCTCTTAAAGCAAGGTCATGTTGTAGATAGGCAGTGAGTCAAACATCAATATTAGCTTTAGAGTGGCAGACCCTCATGTTTCCATAGCTACCAGTGTTTTCTGTAGGTCAAAGTTCAACTTACGTGACTCACTGCCCGCCCTCTGGGCATGCTGTAAACACAATGTACTGACTGGAGGATTAACTGCAAAACAATTTTTTTCCAACCTCTCAGGGTTAATTCAAGAGGAGCATTCGTTAAAACTGTGCTATTTTCAAACCTTTACCACCCACCCCCAAGGCCTGCAACAAACAAAATGTACAAGTTCCCCTTAAGTGCCCACGTTACTTTTTCCAGCCACTCAAGGTTTATTCGAGAGAAGCATGAATTTATACTGGAAGGTTTAAAACCATCATGAACTTATACAGATGTCAATGAGCCTTTACGTCCTTACTGATGCTGACACTATGTGTGAAATACGCACCAAAGTCAGAAATATGTCGGAAATCGCACCAAAGTCTCTAATCCTCATCAGCTGAGACTCCACTTGATTGTGTGAACCTTTACTGCTGGACAGTCAACTCTTGTTCTATTCGGGGCAGTGGGGTAGCCTAGTGGTTAAAGTGTTCGCTCATCACGCTGAATACCCGGGTTCGATTCCCCACATGGGTACAATGTGTGAAGCCCTTTTCTGGTGTCCCCCGCCGTGATTGTGCTGGAATATTGCTAAAAGCGTCTGAAAACCATACTCTCTCACTCACTCACTCACTCTATTGTTCTATTCAAGGATTATGTTCACTGCTTTCAAGGTAGATACATACACCTGGTAGTTATTTGAGCAATCTGTTTTTTGACAATGTATGTCTAAAACGTGTTAAACATGTTGCAACTAGTTTAAAATATCAATCTTAAAGATTCTTGACTAACAAAAACACAGAAAATGTTCAAAAGTTTATTGTGTGAATGACACAGTTCCAACAGTACTGTATTTGAGTTAGAATGTCCGCCATCATAACTCTGGGTCCGGAGAGTTGTATGATCAGTTATAAATGACCATTTGCTCTCATGTTCATCATGAACTCGGAAGACAATCCAGATCATTAGTTTCGCTAACAACTGGAATTGATGAAAAGCAGGTGTATTATCCGTGACACACTGTACAGACACCTGGATCACTTTGTAATCAAAAATCTTTCATTACAGGTACACCAATTTAGTTATATACACATTCATTTATTGATCATAAGGCCAGACCAATTTTATTTCTTGTTTTACAGATTTTTGCCTTCAGAAATCCTAAAGGCAGGAGGGAAAGAAAATAACAATAAAATCACCAGTCTAAGAAATATTCCTTCTAAATACTAAAAGTATTTTACTTTTGGCAATTTATGAAGTGTATATGGGGCAAAATGCAATCTTAAAAATATTTTCTTTTAAGTTTACATTTTTGACCAATAAAAACATTAGGATTTATTTTTTGAGCGGGGAAAATTAATTAATTTTTGTTCTTATTCTTGAAAAATACGACCGGTGGATCCGTAAAACAAGAAATAAAATTGGTATGGCTTTATCAAGATTTCACCACAAAATTATTCTATCATTTCCAGTATGCTGCTTCTCGTATGCTTGTATTTCTAATGTTTTGCATCACAAGAGGCTGTTTATTATTTTTAGATATACAGATCCAGTCATATACCTGGTATTCTGCTGAGTGAAGCTTTAACAATCAATAAATATACCCCAAATGGAATTAGGTGAAATTGTATAAAGCTGTCAGATGTTCAGCATATACATATATCTTAATCTGTCTGGATGTTATAGATTCAGATTTGTAACATTTATCGTAATGCAGTCCATAGACAGCTTGACATTTGACGTATAGAAATATAAAGGAAGCGATTATTTCCCCTGATCCAATTATAAGTGTTGCTTTAAATACAAAAGAATTGCAGTATTAGGTTGTGTAGGGCAGAGGTTAAAGTGTTTGCTCATCACACCAAAGGTCCATGTTCGGTTCCTTACATGGTTACAAAATATTTATCCCAGTTCTGATGTCCCCTGCATTGCTATTGATAGAATATTGCTAAGGGATCATAAAGTAAAACTCACAATCTCTTACAGACCCTTTGCTTTCAGAAAATATGTGATGTTAAATGTCTGAAGCAGAATAAAGTTTATTCATTGATTAGTTAGTTTTGCTGAGGTTTTTGGAGGACACCTTTACCACCCAGTAATTCCTTGTGTCTTGTCTCGCCAGGAAAACTTAGATCACGTAAGTTTGTTACTGCCTGCTCGCTCATCACGAGTAGATCCCATGATGCATTGCGACTACCACTAGATGTCAGCGTTCTAGAACTCAGCCTTGTTTCATCATTTGCATGTGGTCATATTAGATTTCATTTGAAAATCTTGGGCGATGTTCCACTAACCGATCTTAGCGCCATGACTGTCATGACTCGTATACTACAACATGGACTGCTGATAATCTTGCAACCATGATTATCATAACTCCAACATTATCGTCGTAACTCCCACACCGTATATTATGGACTTACGATGGTTAGAGGGCTACGATTGTTGTAACTCCCACTTGATATGGACTTACGAGGTCGTAAGGCTATGATTATCATAACACCCACGTGATGATATGGACTTACGACAGTCAGAGGGCTACGATTGGTTTGTAGAATGAAGTCCTGTTCTGACATCTATCACATTGCATGACTGTTCATATCTTAAATGGTTCCTAAGTAAAGAAAGGATTGAGTTTAAAAGTTAAGAAGTCAACTCTCAAGGCTAAGATCTAGTGCTTCTACTAAGTCATAAAAGCAGGTGACATTTCAGATAGATAAAAAGTATTTTACCAGTTAACATGAACGCAGTATGTTAATGGCAAACTTACTTAAACTGCAGCTGTGGATCTATGGATGTGAAAGGGTTTTAAGGCTTTTATTTCATAGCCGCTTTGTGGAATGTGCTCACCCTTGAATGCAGAATGAGGAATTTCTTTAGAAATGTTTTATAGAAATACTGGATAATGATATTTAAGATATGAACAGATTGTGAATGTTTTTAACCTATTAAATTCCAGTTGGCTTAATGAAATAAAGGCATGTGTTCTTTACAGTTGATCGTCTTCATGAAAAATGTCTCCGAAGTATTAGGACAGTTATTGTTTACTAATAACTACCTAGATGTTTAACATTGATGGAATTAAAACAGTTTCACCGAACTAATTGTAAGTAGAGGAGTTTGTTTATGTAACAAATGTGATGTTATGATTCTGTTGTCAATGTCTTAACCATGCTTGTTATCTCAATATGAACTGAAGGACGTACTTGTATGATCCTCATTGGGGTCTAAGGTCACTGTCTTTTAAAAATATGTCTGCGCCTGTCAGTGAATTTCCATGTGAAGTATCCTCCAGAGACATGGGGGTGGCAGGGTAGCCTTGTGGTTAAAGTGTTCACTCATCACATCAAAGACCTGGGTTCTGTTCCCTGCTTGGGTACAATGTTTGAAGACATTTTCAGGTGAAATGAAGAGTAACTCATAAATACCTTAAAAGTGTTTTCACTACATAGACATGAATAACTGGATTTCAACCTTTCTACCTGAGCAGGCTACGATGTGTGATCGTGATGTGGGAAATATTCATTTGACAATTCCAGAACAGTGTTTGTCCTCAGTTACAGATGCTTGAAGGGGAAGATTTGCAATAATCAGATGGTTACAGTAGCTCACCTTGCTGAATGAATTTTTTTTTTAAAGTATCTATGAATTAATCTACCAAATTTTTTTTAAAAAGTATCTATGAATGAATCTACCATCGAATCATTGCCAGAGGGATAACAGAACAAAATGGTCCTCACTTATTGATGCTTGCTGTTTGACCTTCAGGATTGATCTGATGTTGACGTTTGGCTCCGTGTCACACCCAGGGTGTTGTTCAAGCATTGGTTCACTGGCCCATACATTACAGCATTCACAACCAGTTGACTGTGGTGTTAAACAGCATCCTGGTCTAGATTCTGTAATACATAAATGCAAAATCAGAACCATTTTCCATGTATTGATCCACCCGGATGAATCACTATCTAAATACAGCCTGTGAACATCTGGGTGGTCATAAGAGGCGACTAGCATCAGGCCTGCTGATTGGCTGATGCTGGTTGATGCTTGTAATCGTATCCCTAATGCGTAGATCAATTCTCTGGTCTTCAATCAGTGGATTGCCTGGTCCAGACCCAGTTATTTACAAACCATGGTCATATTGCTAGAAAGTGCAGCGTCAAATAGCAAACAAATTCTACAGAAATATGCCCCCAAGTGCATGGTTTCAGCTTAATTCATGAGATCTGATTAATTTGTTCCTTTTAAATTAGAAGTATTTAACCTTCCCAGTAGCACCTGCTTCCAAAACTTGGCAGTACTTATTCTCTTTTTGCCTTTTTCTTCTGTGTTGAAGTAGGTTTGAAGAGACATTAGTAAGTACTTACTTCCTCTTGTCTAAAGGAAGCTATGCTGTTCAGGCTGTCGTCAGCCCTAATTTAAGAGACACCCTTTTTTTAGCCTGAGGTACCAACTGAATCTCAAAGTACCCATACGCTCCCAAACAACCAGCAAAGAAGACTTCAGATGACATTACAGTCACTGTTTATGAGAAAATGTTACACCATCTACTCAATTTATGGTACCATATCATTCAAAACAACACGTGTACTGGTACTTGCAGACAGTGACAACGATAGAGAGATGTTAACTGGTTAACTCGTTAACTGTTATGAGTCTTCATTATCATTTTGAATCGTAAGACAATATCTGGAGGCTGTTATCTTTACGTAAGGAAGAGTGTTTAAAAGGGTATGTACCTACACCTGTTAACTATCATTGCTATATAGTTCAAAATCAAGCATGCATCATTTTTACCAAATGTTTTAACCATTTTGCTTGTGAATTGATTGATGTCATTCATGCAACTGCATTGCCCATCTTGGGTAACCTTGTGGTACATATGTACCCTATAGAAAGACCCATATTAAGACAGAACTTGTTGGTGTAAAGGAAAAATTGTCATCTGACCATTATTGGTAGATATCTTGAAGAGTGGATATGAATAGACATACCCCTTAACTTACTGCCTCATAAATAACTTGACATACCCTAGGTATCGTCTAAGTCCAGAAGGGCCCACCAAGACAGTTGAGATCAGTTTTACATCAACTCACTCACTCACTAAAGGGGCAGTTCGCTTTCCTAAGCTGTCCCCTAATTAGCCTGTATAAAGCACTGGCGGATCCAGGGATGGGGGGGGGTGTCGACAAACACACACACACCCTTTTTTTTTTAAAATGACTTAAGACTACATTGGGTTCGAAGCCCCTGAAACCCATTCCCCTTTGAAAATTCCTGGATCTGCCTCTGTAAAGGGTACAAAGTTCTGTTAATAATTGGTTACTTGTCAACACAAGTTAAACTTTATATACTTTTAACAAATTTAGATAATCGAATGTCCATATTTCACTGTAACTTGTCAGCTGTTAAGGTAAAGTTAGTGTGATATGGATTATACATGACATTGTCTGATAACATGGAGTTGATAAAAGGCAGGGTGTGCTATTATACTGCTATACATCCGATACATAATTTTGTATGAAGTATTTATCAAGGCACAACACAGGATGAATAAATACAGATTATACCTGTATACAACTTCACAAAGCCATTTTAGGACTATGGCGATCACAAATTATTTTTGACTTGCGATAGTTGTACAACTAACATCTCTTTGTAAGAGCAGCCCCCAAAATGGTAAGGGTTTGGGGGAATGTTTGCCACATAGAAATATATTAGTTGAACATAACATGTATTGTCATCTCCCAATTTTCGGTTTGACCAACTATTAAATGCCGTGTTTTGTATTGTTGCATTGTCAATGTTTTGCATAACAAACAACATTGGAATGATGGTATCATATCTTATTGAATGATTGTTTTAGTTGAAACATTTCATGTTTATTGATTTCAGTTTGTTGGTTACTGTTTGAGAATCTTGCATATACTCTTGTGTATTGTTACTGTCAATGGACAGAAAAGGAAATCACATTTCAGAAATATAACCAGATATTATTTAGCCAGTGGCACAATATAACAATTATTCGACCAGGGATGTAGTACCCAACTAAAGAGGACCAAGCAGTGTTTATGTGTTTTTTACATCCTCCCTGGTAGCTTGAATCGTGCTCATGATTTGAATCACTGGTTTGCCTGGTCCAGACTCAGGCCACCATGACACAGCTGGAATATTGCTGACTCGGGTGTTTCTGTACAAATGACACATTTCAGCAATAATGTTTGATAATATTTTTTATGTTACCATTGGGTTTGTCATGTCAAGGCTTCCAGCTGCTTGTGACCTGTGAAGATCCGGGGTAGAATAGGTCTTCAACAACCCATGCTTGCCACAAAAAGGCGACTATCCTTGTCATAAGAGGCGACTAACAGGATCAGGTGGTCAGACTCGCTGACTTGGTTGACACATGTCATCGGTTCCCAATTGCGCAGATCGATGTTCATGCTGTTGATCACTGGATTGTCTGGTCCGGACTCGATTATGTACAGACCGTCGCCATATAGCTGGAATATTGCTGAGTGTGGCGTAAAACTCATCTCACTCACTCACTCACTCCAGCTGCTTGTTTGCATCTTCAGTATGTTTCTACTCTCAGTAGGGATTTTTGTGTAAAAAGTGCAAGTTTTTGTTGTACTTTCGTGACATGGAGAAATAAATAGTTGTGTCTAATAAATTGTTATAAAGTATTTTTACAGCATCAATTAATGTGATTTTTGTCTTTGGTTACCATGGTGACGTATGTTCTGGCCTCACAGGGAACCTGTGACTGGGATGTAGATGTAGCAGTAAACTGGGGTTATTTGGAAAACCTCTTTGTGTTGAGAGATAAATTATCACATTCTTTCCACACCCCACTGTGAACTGTAGAGCACTACAACATGAGCTTGTGTGACTGTTTCAGGGGCGTACCCTCAGGGTTGTACCGCCTTCAGCCGCGTCTCCCCCAACATCGCCATCGAGGAGTCGGGCATCAAGGATGACTCCGGCATGGAGGATGTGCAGTACACGGAGGTATGGAGAGAGGGGGGGGAGTCAGGTAGTGGGTGGGGCAGTCTGGTTGTGGGTGGGGCAGTCTGGTAGTGTGGCAGTCTGACATTTAGGGAGGGCTAATTTGGTATTGGGGTGGGACAGGGAAGTCTGGCATTGAGGTGGGAAAGTCAGGTAGTGGGTGGGGCAGTCTGGTAGTGGGTAGGGCAGTCTGGTAGTGAGTGGGGCAGTCTGGTAGTGGGTGGGGCAGTCTGGTATTGAGTGGGGCAGTCTGGTAGTGGGTGGGGCAGTCTGGTAGTGAGTGGGGCAGTCTGGTAGTGAGTGGGGCAGTCTGGTAGTGAGTGGGGCAGTCTGGTAGAGAGTGGGGCAGTCTGGTAGTGAGTGGGGCAGTCTGGTAGAGAGTGGGGCAGTCTGATAGTGAGTGGGGCAGTCTGGTAGAGAGTGGGGCAGTCTGGTAGTGAGTGGGGCAGTCTGGTAGAGAGTGGGGCAGTCTGGTAGTGAGTGGGGCAGTCTGGTAGAGAGTGGGGCAGTCTGGTAGTGAGTGGGGCAGTCTGGTAGTGAGTGGGGAAGTCTGGTAGTGAGTGGGGCAGTCTGGTAGTGGGTGGGGAAGTCTTGTAGTGGGTGGGGCAGTCTGGTATTGGGTGGGGCAGTTTGGTAGTGAGTGGGGCAGTCTGGTAGAGAGTGGGGCAGTCTGGCAGTCTGGGGTAGAGTGAGTGGGGCAGTCTGGTAGTGAGTGGGGCAGTCTGGTAGTGGGTGGGGAAGTCTGGTAGTGGGTGGGGCAGTCTGGTATTGGGTGGGGCAGTTTGGTAGTCTGAAGTCTAGTAGTGAGTGGGGCAGTCTGGTATTGGTGGGGCAGTCTGGTAGAGAGTGGGGCAGTCTGGTAGTGAGTGGGGCAGTCTGGTAGAGGAGGTGGGGCAGTCTGGTAGTGAGTGGGGCAGTCTGGTAGTGAGTGGGGCAGTCTGGTAGTGAGTGGGGCAGTCTGGTAGTGAGTGGGGCAGTCTGGTAGTGAGTGGGGCAGTCTGGTAGTGAGTGGGGCAGTCTGGTAGTGAGTGGGGAAGTCTGGTAGTGAGTGGGGCAGTCTGGTAGTGAGTGGGGCAGTCTGGAGTGAGTGGGGCAGTCTGTAGTGGGCAGTCTGGTAGTGAGTGGGGCAGTCTGGTAGTGAGTGGGGAAGTCTAGTAGTGAGTGGGGCAGTCTGGTAGTGAGTGGGGCAGTCTGGTAGTGAGTGGGGAAGTCTGGTAGTGAGTGGGGCAGTCTGGTAGTGAGTGGGCCAGTATGACATTGTGGTTAAGCAGTCTGGCATGTGGTCTGGCTTTGGGGGTGGGGCAGTCTGGCTTTGGGGATGGGTCAGTCTGGCATATGGATTGGCTAGTATGGCGTTGGGGTGGAGTAGTCTGGTATTGGGGATGGTTAATTCTGGCTTTAGGAGTGTGGCAGTGTGGTATTGCGATAGGGTAATTTTGGCTTTGGGGATGGGGCAATCTTTATTTGGGAGAAGGATAAATTTGTATTCGGGATGGGGTCTTCTGACAGTTGGGAAAAGCTGGTGTATCACTGAACATGGCACAGTCCATTATTTGGGATGTGATTCAGCCTATATTCGGAAGGGTTGTCCGAAAGAGCTGTCCAGAAACTGACTTAGGGAGTTGGGCAGTCCGGCACTTGAGGTTGGGCATTCCAGTATGTGGGGGTGGGACTATCGGGCACATCTATGTGAGACAGGAGGTTGTACTGTTCACTGCTGTGCATGTTGAAGAAATACTTCTACTGTAATGTTATGGGTTGTATTACTCACCCGTTTAATAATTTTACAATGTTATTACACATTGTGTAATAACATCACGTGATGTCGTACGTATGACGCCAAAGTGGTTTACAGTTATGACGCCACAATGCTAATACCTCTGTCATAATAGTATTAGACCTTGACGCGCAGACAGTTGAGAGTCATCACACTCATTGAATTCTTAGGAACAAGGTATTTTGCTTGATATTATTTTGCTAATGTTGGGTGAGTAATAAATAAAATACTAAACTATGCCCCGTGCAATACCATATTTATGAAACTCGTGAATGGTATTGGTATCGCTTTCGCTCGTTAGATACCAAATCATTCACCTGTTTTATAAATATGGTATTACACGGGACATCGTTAAGTATTCTCTATATATATGTATGCTGTATTTCAGGAAACCCTGGTTGAGTTCCTGGAGCAGGCTGCAAGGTCATTAGAGAAAGCGGAACGCTACGAGCTCCTGGGGGAGATCTACAAACTCATCATCCCCATCTATGAGAAGACAAGGAACTTCCAGGTGAGCTACAGTTGTTGGCCTATCACAGGTACAGCAGAGTGGCACATGTAGCTCAATTGTCTAACAAGCTGCAGCTAGCTCTGCTGCATCCTTTTAGCATAAGAGAAATCCTTTATTATTGGTATGAATGCTCTTGTTCGTGGGTTCCAATAAAGTGGTGGTTTACCTGGGTTTCACCAAACCTGAATTAAGCTGAAACACTGTTAGGTCAAAGTTGGAGGTACCCACACAAACACCTCAGCTTATCCCTGGTTCAACACAACCACAATATGATGACTTCAAAAGGGGGTGGGGTAGCCAAGTGGGTAAAGCGTTGGCTCGTCACGCCGAAGACACGGGTTCGATTCCCCACATGGGTACAATGTGTGAAGCCCATTTCTGGTGTCCCCCGCCGTGATATTGCTGGAATTTTGCTAAAAGCGGCGTAAAACCAAACTCGCTTGCTCATAAGGGGGACCAACCTTTTACTTCGACAACCACTAAGTGGTCACTAAATCTGACCCTTTACGTCATGACAGGCTTAAATTCAACACAGCAGAGGTTGACACAGAGAGGTTTGAATATACCTTGAATTTCCTTCCAAGCAGTGTTAAACCCAACTCACTCACTCACTCTCTTAATGCATGACCTATTGGTCTAAGGTGCAGCTTGACACTGTGAAAAGTTGCTTCCCTTAGCTTACCAGGATCCGCTCATCATAGGTTCAAACCTCAGACTGTACCAAATTATGATCCTTGATGCATCATCACCCATGTGAATTAGGTTCACCAGAGTGACTATAATCTGGTGTTTTATGTTCCAGAAACTTCAAGAGAGTTACGACCATCTGTCCGGTGCCTACAACAAGGTCATGGAGGTCATGTATTCCGGCAGGAGGCTGCTGGGAAAATACTACAGGGTTGCTTTCTTCGGCCAGGTAAAGTCTTTTTCTGTCTTTCTGATAATATTAAACAGTGAGGCATGGAGACACTGTTACATGTCGATTTTTAATTATAACATCAAGATAACTTAGAAATCTGTATGCAAATGAATATTTGTGAAACTAGAAACAATTAAGAAATTTCATACAATTAACAATTGTATTATAAACTTGACAAGGTTTACAGATCAATACAAATTACTGCAAGGTAATCTGACCAGGTAGTCTTTCATTGGTCTTCTGATAAGATATGACAATGAGGAAGTGGAATACCGTGCTTCAGTATTGCAGGAATAGATTGTGGTTTGCCGCTTTTATAAAGTATGGTGATTCTGAATAATATGTCAAGATGTTTCAAGTCAAACATCAGCTTCAAACCAGACAATTTCAATCAATCACACAATTTGAAAAGCCTGTCTGGAGCTTTTAATTGATATGGGGAATAAAACCCAGATTGGGATGTGGGGTGATTACTGGTATTCTAGGTAAAACTTTTACATCTATTATCAACAGTAGGTTAACACAATGGTCGAATATGAGAGATTTAATACCGGAACCTCAAGCAGGATTTAGAAAGGACTACTCAACATTTGATCATATATTTACCTTGTATGCTATTATTGAGGGATATTTATCCTTTAGCAAGCGAAAGTTGTATGTAGCTTTTGTAGATTTCAAAAAGGCGTTTGATTCTGTAGATAGAGGTAGAATGTGGAAATGCTAAAGAAATTGGGGTTTGAGGGGCAAAATGTATGGTATCATAAGATCGATGTATTCCAATGTAAAGTCATGTGTCCGCTGTGGCTATGGTGTAAGTGACTTTTTCGATTGTCCTGTCGGTCTGCGTCAAGGATGTACTTTAAGTCCTTTACTTTTCTCCTTTTTCATTAACGATTTATATGTAGATATCTTGAAGTCTGGTAAACATGGCATCCAACTTTCTCCCGATGTAATCGAACTTTTTATGTTATTATTTGCTGATGATGTCATTCTTATGTCCAGCTCTGTAATTGGTCTTCAAAATCAAATAGATATACTCTCAGCGTATACAGATAAATGGCAGTTGAGTGTGAATCTAAATAAAACAAACATCGCTATATTCCGTAGAGGTGGTCCTTTGTCGGCTAGAGAGAAATGTTTTTTTAAAGATAAACGTATGAATGTTGTGACTGATTATAAATACCTTGGCATATTGTTTACCCATACGCTGAATCTGAATAAGTCCGTACTTAACCTGGTGAGGAGAGCAAAGAAAGCTCTTTCACAACTTCACTCTGTTGTTCCTATGCTCGGTCTTGTTCCATCGACTATTTACTTCAACTTATTTGACTCTCAGATACAACCGATTTTACTGTATGGATCTGAAATATGGAGTTTTAAAGAGTATTATACCATAGAAAAAATTCATTTGCTTGCCTGTAAAAAGTTTCTAAATGTTGGTTTGTCAACACCAAATGTTATGGTTTATGGTGAATGTGGGAGGTTCCCATTGTACATATCATCTTATTGTCGTTGTTTAAAATATTGGTGTAAAATAATTAATATGCCTGGACATCGTTTACCTAAAAAAGCTTTCAGTATGCTTTTACATCTTGATTATCTTGGAAAGAATAACTGGACATCTCATATTCGCACCTTACTATTTAGATATGGCTTTGGTTGTATTTGGTTATCACAGACAGTTGGCAATGCAAATATGTTTATTAAACAGTTTTGTATGCGGACTATTGATATGTTTAAGCAGGAATGGCATTCAACTATTAATGAAAGTTCTAGATATGATTCATATCGTCAATTTAAGTCGTTGCTTGAGCCAGAGTGTTATCTTGCTCACCTTCAATACAGAAATATTCGCAATGCTTTTATACGGTTTAGATTAGGCCTTAATGATTTATTAATTAACCGTGGAAGATATGTTTCTATGGAAAAAACCCAAAGATTATGTCCATTCTGTTACATTATTGAAGACGAATTTCATTTTATGTTTATTTGTCCTGTATATGAAAATCTAAGAAATAAGTATCTACCGCAACTGTCTTTATCTCAAATCAAAGTTAATCTATTGTCTTCCTTACTTTCCTGCAAAGAACCTCCAAAACAACACAAAGTTGCTCTATTTATCTACAATGCATTTTTGTTAAGAAAAGAATCGATTAGTTAGAAAGTTGATTATATATGCCATTGTCAAGATGTATCTCTGTTGTATATGGGCCTATGGCCTTTCATACAATAAAGAATTGAATTGAATTGAATTGAATGATTTACCCACTCGCCTATCCAGAATCCCTGTAGCCAAGTGGTTGAAGCTCTCGCTCTTCACACTGAAGACCAGGTTTGACTCCTTGCATGTGTAACATGCATGAAAGTCTTGGTGTCCCCAGCTGTTATATGGTAGACATTTTGCTGAAAGCTATGTAGAAAACCATACACACTCACTCACTCACATCATGGTTACGGACCGCTTCCATGGTGTAGTGGTTAGAGCATCCGCCCGGAGAGCGGAAGGTCGCGGGTTCGATCCCCGACCGCGTCATACCAAAAGACGTTAAAATATGGTACTTGCTGGTCCCCGCCTGGCGCTCGGCATTAATGGGTACAACAAGGACTGGTTGGCTTGGAGTCAGTATAATGTGTCTGAGTGGGGTATTCATGCTTCACTGCGGCATGGTATCTCAGTGAGCTAGCGCTAGAAAACCAGCTTCAGTCTGGGCTAGTACAAACAGCCGCACATACACGTACACACACATGCACATCGTCATATGAGCGAAATATTCTCAAGTACGACGTTAAACCCAATTTCACCTCACCTCATGGTTACGAGAACTTTCATTTTACTTTCAGACGTACTTCGAAGATGATGATGGCAAAGAATACATCTACAAGGAGCCCAAGGTGACGTCGCTGACGGAGATCTGCGACCGCCTCAAGACGATGTATGCAGAGAAGTTCGGGAAGGACTCCATCAAGCTGATTCAGTCGGACAACAAGGTGAGGAGACATGGCCGACGTAGTCATCTAAGTGCTATGGCAGTCCTCTCATCAGAGTTACATCCCTTAGGTCTGCCAGGATACTGATTGACCATAATTTTATGTTATATTTTCAACTCTCTCACCATACTTGAGGCTTTCAGCAACTGAATCATCATTAAATTATGTACAGTTTTGTTCAGGGCAGTTGGGTAGCCAAGTGGCATTTTGCTCGCCACACGGAAGACTTGGGTTCAGTTCCCCATGGGTACAATGTGGGAAGACCATTTCTTGTGTCCTGGCCGTGATATTGCTGGAATATTGCTAAAAGGGGCATAACACTTTACTCACTCACTATAGTTGTGTTTGCTACTATTCTACATTTAACCATGAATATTCTCTACTTCATTACATTGTTGCAGCAAAGATTGCTGATGTGGTGTTAAGCAAAAACATCTCACTCACTTCATAACATGATGGGGGTCCCTGTATCTATGAAATATTTTGATGTATTTGTTCAAGGTGAACCCTGCTGAACTGGATGCAAGATTTGCCCACATCCAGGTGACCTTTGTCACGCCTTACTTTGATGAGAAGGAGCTGGCCGAGAGACTTACCGACTACGAACGCAATAACAACATCCGTCGCTTCATGTTCGAGACACCATTCACCAAGGACGGCAAGTCCCACGGAAATATTGATGAACAATGCAAGCGGAGGACCATCTTACTAAGTAGGAACTAACTTGTTGGATCAAATCTTTGCGGGGCATTTAGAAGTGGAATGCGTAATAAAAGCAAGATGTATGGATCTCAACTTCTTTGTTGTGACTATCACGACGTTTCACATGATGAATTAGCAAACATACTCTCCGAAATGTCGTGTTATTCACAATAAAGAAGTTGACATCCATAAGTCTTGCTTTTCTTAACTTGATTGTTGTAGATTCCTTGAATATTTTATTTTATGGTGATTGTGGGCCAGGATAGGTGCCCAGTGTCCTGTTGTAAGTTTAAAGATTGGGAAATATTGGCACACTGCAGAGTTGTCTCCCTTTCCTGGACCTGTCAACTCTGTGGATCTTGTTTAAGTTTCACACTTATCTTGAATTTACCCCACTTGTTGATGCAAATCATCATATCCCAATATCATACATCAATTGTCATATCAGTCACTGGATTGTCTGGTCCAGCCACGATTATTTAGTCTGCTGTAATATTACCAAGTGCAGTCAGCCATGACTGATTCTGTTTGTCCCAGCAGCTTCAATGGAAGGTTCCATCAATATGGCCGACATGTACCACCTGTCTAACGTTTATCTTTGTTGGTCTGCCATGACATCCAGTGACCTGGCTGGGATATTGTGTGAAGCAACGTTAACCCGTACTTGGATTTGTTCCAGCTTCTCACACGTTCCCGTACGTTAAGAAGCGTATCGACGTGAAGGACCGCAAGGAATACATACTGAAACCGATCGAGGTCGCAATAGATCAAATGCAGTGTAAGGTAGCCGAAATGAAAGAGATCCTGAGCTCTCCCGACCGTGACCCTGTCAAATTGCAGCTCAAGCTACAGGGTAGTGTTAATGCACAGGTGAGAATCGAGATCTTCATCATGTTCATGAAGATGACTACTGATAAACAGTTTGATTAGGTGCAAAAAAAATTTCATCGTATGAGTTGGTCAAATATATCGCATTTTTCCATATCGCACTTTCCATTAAATGAATCATTGTGTTTAATATTCTTATAATTTTAGTCATGCCGCCTGGGCACAATGAAAATATTTCACCTGTGCAAAATTTCAACATTTATCGTGCCATGACACGCAATTTAAGCACTGGATACACAATGTCTAGAAAGTGGTCAAATGTAATATATGTTATATTTGGGATTACACTTTCTTAGTAGAGTACAGATTCTCTCAGAGTCAGGCACCTAATCGCCAGACCACAAATTTAAGCTCAATTTTGATGTTTGAGATTTTTAAGATTTCATGACTGTCATGCCCTGACATAAACACATTAGACTTTAAAATTACAAGACACTGACGAGAGAATCACAGTTAGCTGACTTATGTCATCTTTAACCTGTATGTGCCTTTATTGTATGTGTGTACTTCCTGTCCAGGTGAATGCTGGGCCGCTGGCTTATGCAGAGGTCTTCCTTGATCCCAAGAAAGTTGGCAACTTCAAACCAGAGAAGGTGGAATCATTGAAAGATGTGTTTAGGTGAGTAGTACTAGGTTTATTCAACAGATATTGTAAGTATTGCAGCAGATTGTCAGGTTCATACTGCTGAAAAAGCACCTCAGTTTTGTTAAATCTTAGCGTTTTATTGGAATGAAGAAATATTATTCCTCATCAGAATTTTGCCAGCATGGTATCAATAAGTTGAGTGGAAGGCTTTAAAATTCAAAGTCCTTCTTGAAAACCTTCATTTTCAGTGTCACCCTTCAAATACACAAAAGATTACCAAAGTAGACCTAAAAGCCTTGAAAATTTGTCTTCTCCTTACTGCATGTTAGGTCATTATGATATCAATATGCTGGATTTAACAGACTAAAGCTGATGACAACAAAGAATACCATGAAAATAACAGCTAAAAAATCTGAAGTTGGTGTTAAATTTTATTGTTCAATATCTGTGTGATCCTTGGAGTTGATTTTAGGCTGGATTTTAGAAAACAGGACAACTTTTACTTTTCAAAATCTGTTCAAAATGATGGACATGGTACAATGCTGTGGTAGGTGTTTTTAGTTGCCTTTTATTGTGTGTAAATCTGTGATGCTTCAGTATCTTGGTGAATCCTGACAACCTTGAGTTCATATCTTTCTGTTTTGTGTTCAGGGAATTTGTGAATACTTGTCGTGACGCCTTAGAAGCTAATGCACAGCTGATTACCACCGACCAGAAGGAATACCACGAGTCTCTCAAAACTGGCTTCAACGATATCGTGGACAAACTGTCCGTCATGTTTGGAGAGAAGGTAAGATCATGTGATCAGATCTAGCAATATGATTGGTGGTAGAGGAATGCTCTGCCAGTGTTCTCTATAGACGAAATTGTTTCGTTAATAATATGCAAACAAATTTATAACAATATGCAAAAACAAGTTTTTGTTTTAAGCGGATAAAGTCTGCAAGTTGGCAAATAACCAAGTCATGTTTTTTTTTTGGATCTAACTGAAACAGGGCTTGTAATGAAGCTGTTGAAATGACCTTGACCTTACTCCACAAATCAGACTTGGGTCACCAGTCTGTGTAAATATGTATTGAATACATCATGTAAGTGAACTCAAACCTGGATAACATATCACAATCACGATTTGTTAGGAGGCCCAAACTGGAGGTAAGAAGGACCATGAAAATTTAAGTCTGACTTTGTTTTACATCTTCTGCCCCATCTTCCTAGTGTGTGTGTAAGTGTGGTAATTATCCTGTAATACTACAGTGGGGAACATCAGAAATGGGCTTCACACATTGTACCCATGTGGGGAATCGAACCTGCATCAGCAGCATTAAGAGCAAACGCAAATTCTTCACAACATCGCCACGAGGTTTTTCCACAGCCCTCCCCTTGTATCTCTCAGGTAAAACCGATACATTATTCACCCAAGTGAACATGTTACATTTATCTCCACGATAAACATATCGACAATAAATGCCCGTATAGACATATTCCTGCATGAAAGCTGACAACAGCAGTAAGTTATCACAGCGGTTTACAGATCCCTACATTTGCTGTGGATTGTTAACGACTGACTGACTGAGTTTGGTTTTACGCCGCTTTTAGCAATATTCCAGCAACATCACGGCGGGGGACACCAGAAATGGGCTTCACACGTGACCATGTGGGGATTCGAACCCGAGTCTTCGGCGTGACGAGCCAACGCTTCAACCATTAGGCTACCCCACCGCCCCGGATTGTTAACGATGTAGTGATACTTCAACAGTAGTCTTACAGTGTGTTTCATAGACAGCGATCATTGTTTGCTTTGTGGAGCAAGGCTGTTCAGCGAATAACCAATCTATAAGTTTGGAATGTCTATAGAGAACACTGTTTGTTCTGATTTCCTGACTGACATGGATTGACCTTGACCTTGGTATTGGTGGAGGATGTTTCTTCATAATGACATATAACCTCTCACTCTCTGTGTCACGGACGGTGTCTGATATATACACGTAACACCCGGTAGTTAACTGATTTAATGTCCTGGTTAATGTCTTCTGATTAACAGGGAAGTGGGCTTGTAACTTTGTTAGGACATTTAGTATGGGTTAACATTCACAGGAAAATTGCACAATATAAGTAATGCATATTATTGTATTGACCGCTGTAAAGTCTCATGATCCATTTAAGTTGTCTCAAAACATTCCTGTTTCTTTGCCAATATACATTAAATAACAATTAACAACCAAATAATTCATTGTAATCTTATCACAGCTCTAGATAGATTTGCTTGGATTATGAGGCACATATATATATTTTCTCAAATCATGTTTGGCTAATAATAGGCAACTGAAATCTTTAATGTGCAGAGAATCATTTGACATCATTACTGCCTTAACAGAAATGCTTCAGTAATGACTAAGCAATGCTAATTCATTTATACCATGGAAATAATGGTAGATATTGCCATCAGAAGACATTTCATAAGTCCTGATAGAGTTACTTCCCTTTGTACCTTGAAAAAAAATATTATCTCCTTTTCTTTATTGATAGATGCAGAGATAAGATGCTCTCAGAGAGCCTGAAGTAGTTTTTCAGCCTGTTAGGGATCAAAGTCTTTCATTTTGATTTTTAATTATTTGAATGGGAACTCAAACAGTACAGGATATTGCCATGAAAGTATTTACTTTGTTTTGTTTCATACAATTGCTGTAAGTAGTTGTTGTAAGTAAGTGGGAGTAGTACATGTGGAAAACTTTTGGTTTATTGACAGCAACTTTGCCGTGTTGAATCTTACGCCTTTATGAAGACCATGATATGGAGGGAGCACTGGGGATATATACATGTGTACAATGGTATCTGTAAGTCTCTAGCTAAACAGGAGCCAGTGACAAGCTAGACGAGGAGCAGAATTACAGGATTACCATGATATGGAGGGAGCACTGGGGATATATACATGTGTACAATGGTATCTGTAAGTCTCTAGCTAAACAGGAGCCAGTGACAAGCTAGACCAGGAGCAGAATTACAGTGCTGTGGTGATATGGATTACCGTGATATGTTGTTTGTGGGAAGTGGGAAGACGTACTAAGCCTCAGTCTGAAGCCTGGCATTACGATGATACATTTGTAGGAAATGTGAAGACATTATAGTCCTGAAATTGAAGGCTAACCTGACTTGGAACTCATGTCTGCATCGTGGATTCAGGACATCAGCTGAAGACGAGCATCCTCTGTCATTAAAATTCATTTTTTCCTTTGGAAACTTACTGATAAGTCTTCATTCACCAACCTGTGTCTTCTCTCTTCATGATCAACTTCCTCAACAATGAATACCCATGCAATTCCTCAACAGGCTTTCATCTTCAGCTCTCCATAACAAACTTTCATCACCTGCTCTCCATAACAAGATTTCATTAGCAGCTCTCCACACAAAAAAACTTTCATCACTAACTCTCCGTAACAAGATTTCATCACTAGCTTGCATTACAAACTTTCATCATCAGTAAGTGTGACATAATCCTCATCATTTGCCTATCTCAATAAGCTTTTATCATCAATCTTCATCATCATCCTTGGTCAACTTTCACTATGAATTTTCACCATCAAGCAATCGGCAAACTCTATGATCAGATCATCAGCATCACACCTCTTCAGCTTTCAATGTCAGCCTTTATCAGACTTCATCAGACTTCATCATGCTCCATGACAATTGACCAGAGCATCTGGTAGCAGAGACATACGTTTGTCATCCTCCATATGACCTTCAAAGTCATTGCAAGTGCGGAACTTCTCATCACCTAATCTGAATCATATTATCTAAACAATGTGAGGGCTCCAATGAGTTGAGGAGCCAGCACTTCAGCTGATGTTGGTGACGAATGTCCGCTCCAGGAAGTTGCTGATGAGAGATGCAACCTTCCCTCGCATACAGGGTATCTCTCTCAAGTTTGTGATGGCCGTCTGCTGCTGCACTGTGCCTCTTCCCCAGGCTTTCAGTGTAATGCTACTAGTAAACACAGACATATTTGTTTAATAAATGGGCCTTGTATGCTAGGGATGATCCCAATATTCCTGGCAGGTATTTTACTATTGACAAGCATAGCTCAATATATACCGTTGGCAGAACCTCTTTGCATCCCTGCCAAAAATTTGGACCAAGTGAAAATCTTGGGCTACTCCTTGAAGAAGTGATCAAGGCACTTCATGTTGTCTGTGTTTACCAGTAGCGTTGTCACCTCACTGTTGTCACAGCACTATATTCTTTCCATAGCTTATTGTAGCCTGCATTGTTGTAGTCTATAGCAGAGTCTGGGTATCATTTGCTTCTCCTTCTTGGCCAAAACAACTCAAACGAGTCCAGATCTAAAGTTTGCTTGAGCAGGGTTGTGGATGGGCGTGGTTGAACAGGGTTGGTCTTGGCGGGGCAGGATTGGTCTATGTTGGGCAGGCTCTGTCTAGGTTGAGTAGGGTTGGTATATGTAAGGCAGGATTGGTCAAGGTTGGGCAGGCTCTGTCTAGGTTGAGTAGGGTTGGTCTAGGATGGGCAGCATTGGTCAAGGTTGGGCAGGCTCTGTCTAGGTTGAGTAGGGTTGGTATATGTAAGGCAGGATTGGTCAAGGTTGGGCAGGCTCTGTCTAGGTTGAGTAGGGCTGGTATATGTAAGGCAGGATTGGTCTATGTTGGGCAGGCTCTGTCTAGGTTGAGTAGGGTTGGTATATGTAAGGCAGGATTGGTCAAGGTTGGGCAGGCTCTGTCTAGGTTGAGTAGGGTTGGTCTATGTAAGGCAGCATTGGTCAAGGTTGGGCAGGCTCTGTCTAGGTTGAGTAGGGTTGGTCTATGTTGGGCAGGATTGGTCAAGGTAGAGCAGGCTCTGTCTAGGTTGAGTAGGGTTGGTCTAAGTTGGGCAGGATTGGTCAAGGTAGAGCAGGCTCTGTCTAGGTTGAGTAGGGTTGGTCTATGTAAGGCAGAATTGGTCAAGGTTGGGCAGGCTCTGTCTAGGTTGAGAAGGGTTGGTCTATGTTGGGCAGGATTGGTCAAGGTAGAGCAGGATCTGTCAAAGTTGAGCATGGTTGGGCAGGGTTGGGTTTGGATGAGCAGCATTTGTTTTGGCAGAGCAGCATTGGTCTATGTTGGGCAGGATTGGTCAAGACAGAGCAGGCTCTGTCAAGGTTGAGTAGGGTTGGTCTAAGTTGGGCAGGATTGGTCAAGGTAGAGCAGGCTCTGTCTAGGTTGAGTAGGGTTGGTCTAGGTTGGTCAGGCTTTGGTTTGGATGAACAGCTTTTGTCCTGGCAGAGCAAGATTGGTCCAGGTTGAACTGGGTTGGTTTTGTTTGAACAGGTTTGGTCTTGATAAAGTAGGGTTGGGCATCGTTGAACCGTAGGTTTTAGAGGAGCAGGGCATGGTTGAGTTGTAGGTTTGGAGAAGTAGGGTTGGTCCTAGTTGAACAGGGTTGGGTCTGTTTGAGCAGGGATGGTTCTGGCTGAGCATTCTCATTTCTCATGTTCTAAGGTCAATGTTTCTTTATTACGGAGGTGTAAGAAACAACCCATTGCTGTCAATAAACAAAAAAGTCTCCATGAAAACTGTAGCTGTTATCATTCAATTTTTTAAAGCGTGTACTTCATCCTTAATTTACGTCCCCCAAAGCTGACACCCGAAGTGATGATTCATCACATTTTTGCATGCATTGTATTCTCTTACTGTGTGTTTTTGTGTCCCTTATTTTTTGTGTTTTTGTGAAATGATTTCATTTACATCCTATAATTCACCTTGTCCAGGAAGCTACAGTACAAATAGTTTATCCCAAGGCCAGTGG